ACAAAATATTCCGATAGCAATTTTTTACAATCATTAACATACTTTTCATATCTAAATAAATTTTCATTCAACCTCCAGGACCTTCTTGCCTGGGCTACCCTTCCCAATTCCATCCAGACTGGATTATGGTCTGAAAGAACTCTCGCCATAATCTTTGTCTTCTTCACCCTACAAAGTAAATCATTTGTAATTAGTATAAAATCAGAAGAGATTCTGAGGTTAGTTTGATCAGGCAACTTATTACACACACAACCCACTATCAAAGTGGATCCTGGGTGCTGTGCTGCAATGGAGAAACAGACAACGGAGTGGCCGGCACAAGGGAAAGAGGAGGAACAGGGAGAAGAAAGAGAGAAAATGGTCTTCTCCTCCCCTCACACTGGCCACTCCGTTGCCCATTTCTCCATTGCAGTGCAGTGCCCAGGATCCACTTTAATTGTGGGGGGTGAGTAATTTAACAACAGATTTGGTCTGAACCAGCTGAATCCCACCACTAAGTCATGCATATAGCTAAACAAATGAGTATATTTCATAAGGATTTTTTATTATAAAAAATAATAAAGTGTATGAGAATTTTTCACAGAGGTAACAGTATGTCTGGTTACCAAGTTCAGTGCTCTGAGTCCTCCAAATATTTTAGACTTCAATTATTATGAGCCCTGAGTAAGAATTAGGAACTCTACCAATTGTAGACCACATTTGGAGGGCACCAGGTTGCTTAATTTTGTCATACTGAAGAAGCAGAAATAGAAAGCATATTATTAAAAATTTCTATGCCAGAGTTGAACAACTATTTGTCGTTGCTTTTTTGTTATTTTCTAAGGATCCGCTTTAAAAGGATATAGGAAGAAATGGTGGCAGTGTGCTAATATTACTGGAAGAGCAAAGTAAAAACTTGCTCTCACACTTTTTAACATCTCATTTAGAAATGGAATTAAACCAAATATTTTACTACTACTTTAAAGTTGTCATGAAGAATCACAGTTCTGGGGAACTTTAGGGACTGAAAAAAGGAGCAGTAAGTCATGTGATGCTGAAAGTTTTCTACAGGTAATTCTCAACTTATGACCACAATTGAGGCCAAATTTTCTGTTGCTAAGTGAATTTTTGTTAAGTGAGTTTTGGCCATTTTATGACCTTTCTTGCCACTGTTACGTGAACTAGTGCAGTTGTTAAGTTAGTAATATGGTTGTTAAGCGAATCGGTTTTCTCCATTGACTTTGCTTATCAGAAGATTGCAAAAGGTGATACAGGACCCCGGGACACTGCAACTGTCATAACAAATGCCAGTTGTCAAACATCTACATTTTGATCATGTGACCATGGGGATTCGGCAATGGTCATAAGTGTGAAAAATGGACATAAGTCACTTTTTTCAGTGCTGTTGTAACTTCAAACGATGACTAAGCAAATGGTTCTAAGTAGAGGACTACCTATGCAATAAAGCTAATTGTGCAGTAACTTTGTAACTTTGAATAGTCACTAAATGAACTGTTGAAAGTCAAGGACCTATTTTTTAAAAAATGACAATCAGAAGTGAGTCACAGCAATGTTACTTGAGTGGTATCAGGGGGGTTCTGGCTTCTTTTACTGCCGATTCGCTCAGGGATGTGCTTTGAGCGCACATGTGCATGCACAGTAGACAAAAAATGCTTCTGCGCATGTGCAGAAGAAAAAAACAAGATGGAAGCACCTATGGCGGTGATACATATACAACAGTGATACATATTATAAATGCAAATACAGGATTATACAAGATTAATTCAAACATTAAGCTAACATCTGAATCATATTGGATAACAATGAGGCCTCTTCCTCATTTCTTGCTGTGATATAATTACACACATTACCAAGAGTAGGATTTATCTCTGAGTAAATATACACAGGAATGTACTATCAAAAATATTCATTCATAAACATCACTTAAGAATCCAATGTTTTTCGAAATTCAAAGACTTTGCAGAGATTTTATTTTCTTTTGGAGCTCGAGGGCAAAAAACCCTGCAATTTTAAATAAATTTAGCATTAATGTATCAAATGATCAAATCACCTACTCTGAAAAGATTCTACTGGAATTGTTTTCTAAATGAACATTGTAGCCCAAGGCTTGATTCCTATATCAGTTTTGAAATACATTGCTTAGAATTATTAAGGCAGTCTTCAAAATCATATGCATCTTTCAATACACTTTAAAAATCAGTCAATTAAGTCAAATGAGTCATAAGTCATATCAGTTGTAAAGTAGTTTTTATTGCGCACTCCTGATAATCTGCCAAAGCTTCAGGTTTGAATGTTTACAGGTTTGGTTATATTTATAATAAGAGAAAATTGCAATAGGTTCCCTTGATTTATTGGAAGCATTGCAACATTTAGCACATTATTGGGAGTGTCTGCCACTTAGTATGTATGTTGCATGTCTGTGGAAGCTGCTAGAGCACTATTCCATCAACCTTTTGTTTGAACATTTTATAGCTTTATATATATAAAACAGTTTGCAAGAGAGAAACAAAATAGAAAAAGGCCAAATTCACTTTTCCCTAGCCTGAAGGTTTATGAAAAAGGGCCTGAGGCAGAGGTGGTATTCAGCAGATTCTGACCAGTTCTGTAGAACCAGTAGCAGAACTTTTGAGTAGTAACTGGTAAATACCACCTCTGACTGGCCCCATCCACCCCCATCTATTCTCTGTCTCCCGAGTCCCAGCTGATTGGGAGGGACTGGAGATTTTATAGCATCCTTCCCCTGCCAAATCCACCAAGCCACACCCACCAAGCCATGCCATGCCCACAGAACTGGTAGTAGAAAATTTTGAATCCCACCATTGGCATGAGGATATATGTTTGTAAATTCAAAAGTTTTTGATGATTCTGAAATTTAAATAACTATTAACAAAAAATACATATCTGCAGAATGTGTCATCACTGTTAATTTTTTACATCGACCATTTCCTTTCCTTCCGGGATCAGGTCCAATGGTTTCATTCTGACTTATGGTGTTCTGTCAAAATAATGGAATCTTGGTATTCCCAACCACCCAAGGATATGACTGAGAAAGCTCAAAATCTCCAAATCAAATATGCAACATAAATAGCAAAGATGCTATTAATGAGTATGCAAAAGAGCAATAGCAGTTTTTCTGAGTATAAATATGTCAGATGTACTGAACTACAACTACCCGTAGGGTTATTGTATTCTACAATTTTTTTTCTCACCAATAAAGTAAAGAATGGGGAAAATGTATTCAACTCTTCCAGTGGCAATAACACAGAGTACTTCCCACAAGATTAACATTCTTCCAAAAATGGTCCTTATTTAGCCATTTTATAGATTTCTTTTTGGAAGCCTATCTTAAACTATGGGAAAATATTCCCATGCTAAACTGGGTAAAGATCAATTAACACTCTTTTATGTTTGTGTTTTGATGACAGGTTTGACAGTTGGCTCTCTTCCCATTTAATCCTCCCTCCAAGCTCTCTCTCCCGTTACCCTGGGAACTATTCAGATGACAGCAAAAGTTGGCGACTGGTTGAGATCTCCCGATTAACCACAAAATACCAACATGACGAGTCTGATGAGAGAATTTGCACTTTCCTTACCCAGACTAAAAGATGCAGCATTGAGAGGGCTCTATGGAAGACAGAGAGATTCCAGAAATGGCTGAAAGCAAAGCGCCTGACCCCTCTCTTGGTCCAGGTCTGTACACAGTCTTCTGTAATACCCAACTGATATGCAACAAACAGTCTTGTATAAAGACTGCTTGTGGGTGGGAAAGAACTATTGCAATATGGATTTTGGATCATCCTTGCTTCTTACTCCTCCTTCCCTACAAACCACATAAGTCACAAGTAAGGTGACAAGCTGCTGAATGGCCCAGTTTCTCTAGCACATGATTACTTTCATAAAGAAAGAAACTATGGAGTATAATAGATTCTGTTGTTATTATTGATGACTATGCATGCTTTTCATTTTGTATTGATACGTGATTACCATAGGCTGCTTTGCATCATTCTTGAAGACTTAGTAGAAGTTACTGTAAAGCGAGCAGCAGAAAAAGTACTTTTGACTCCAATCGTCTTACTGATCAGTAAAAAAAAGACACAATAGTAAAAAACTAAGTTGGATAATTAAACAAGCAAACAAACCCCAAACCCTTCTGAAGCTTCACTTTATTGTATTCTATTATGAAGTTTCTTGGTCTATGGCTTTTCACTGTGGGTGAGATCACATTGTTGCTACACAAACGTACTTTACAGTGAGTTTAAATATAACTTGGTGCTCTGTCATTTGGCGGGATTCACTTTGATAAGATCAAGTCAAAAGAAGATGCCTTCCTCCTCTTCTTAATCCTGAATGTTCCAGTCTGTGCATTTGTCTGTCTTATACCAGTCAGGTTACCCAGTGGCCTCCTCCTTTCATATGAGATACATCTTGATCAGGGGTGGGTTCCTCCCGGTTCGCACCGGTTCTTGCGATCCAGTTCAGTGAACCCGGAAGTAATTAACTTCCGGGTTCCTAGCTCCTAGCCCCTGTCGCTGGGTGCCTGCAGGGTTTTTCTTTTTAAAAAACGCCTCTCCGGATGATCTTGAAAACCTGCAAGGTTTCTTTGGAAGGGGACAGATAGGCAGATTCCCCCTGCCCCCCTCCCTGGGTGCCTGCAGGGTTAAAGCAAGCGTTTGCATAATAAAGAAAATCTCAGGCGCGCGAGAAGTTCTTAATTGCTTTTACTGTTAAGTTTCGGAAGCTTCCAAGGCTACAGGCAATCAGGAATGGGGGGGGGGAAATCCCTCGCAGGTTTNTGAGTAGCTCTAATTAAATTATAAGAGGTTGTTTCTTTGATTCTGTAGCAGGAAGCCGGAGATAACAAATGCAGAAGCTGTAAACGCCATTTTGAAGACAATTAAACAAAAGAGGTTTTTATAACATTGAAGCTGGTATTTCAGATAGAGAAAAGTTTTAAAGTTCACAAGTTTGGTCTTTGCTCGTATTGATTTTTAATAGTCTGTTTTCTAAAGATTGTCCTAAGGGGGAGGGGTTCCTGTCTTGTGCTGTAAATAACAGCTGCGAAGTTCAGGTCGGAGTTGAATGACTCAGCTTTGGGTTGATCCTCCCCCTCCGTCCACAGCCCACAAAGAAACAAACTGTGAACTTCAAAGAAGATTCTTACCAGCTGAGATTCCTCACTGCTTTTTTCTTGTCTGAAAAAAGAGTTATCTTCTTGATATTGAGTAGATAATGAACCTGAATTCTGGGGGCAGCTCTGTTAAGCTGCCGACGGCGACAGGCCACTCCCTGGAAGCCCACGGAGATACTTTCTATATTTGACATGTAAAAGTTATTCCATTGAAGTTCATGATCAAACATCTTCCAAATTTGCTGGGTTTAAGATGCATGTATTTTTTTTTAAAAAAAGGGAAGTGTTTTTATGTAAGAACTCATGAGAAAAATATTTGTGGCATGGGACTAGGGGGGAAAGTCTGAAAGGAATACACAAATATAGTTTATGTGAATATTGTAGGCTTGTTAAACTCAAGATCTTATTTCACCAACATAACTAGATTGCTCTTTTCATAATATTCACTGTGGGTTCCTTTGAATAATAACTGGTTAATCTTTCTTTGTATATTTTTAGAAGCTCTGCTTAAATATTTGTAACATGAACCATCATAATCGTTGCTCTGACGATTATTCAATTTGCATTCACTTTTCATAAGAGAATGCAAATCTCAATTTCATATCTCGAGGCAGAAAATAATAATACTAAAACAAAATAAATTATAACACTGTCAGAACACAGCAGTCTGATAAGGCAGCAGTGGGCACCACGCAACCTACAAGCAGAGGTGGGATTGAAAAATGTGAGCAACTGGTTCTCTGCCTGGTTGCTGGGTTGGAGTGGCCATGGTGGGAGTGGCCTACTTGGCCTCCTGCACCACGGTGGGGATGATGGGGGTGTTTTTGCCCTCCCGAGGCTCCAGAGGTTTTCCTTGAGCTTCCAGGAGGGCAAAAACGGCCTCCTCGAGGCTCCAGAGGCCCTTCAGAGGCCAAAAACAGGCCAATTTGTGGACTTCCAGTACTTCTGGTATGCCCATTTTTTCACCCTCCATAGGCTCCAGAGGTTTTTCCCAAGCCTCCAGAAGGGTTAAAATGGGCCCATTTCTAGACTTCCAGGAGGCCCATTTTTCGCCCTCCCAGAGCCTCCATACAGGCCCTGCACTTACTTGGCATGATGAATAGGCCACACAGAGACTCCTGGGAGGGGAGATGCAGGGTGGGTGGGGCCAGCCAGTCCTTGCAACAACTAGTTCGGCGAACCAGTGCGAACCAGCTGAATCCCAACCCTGCCTACAAGCCATAGGTAGTCTGTCTCTATGGTGCCTATCTCTGTGGTAGAATCTCCAACTAGACTGGAAGGAGGTGTCAAGAGAGGCCTGTGATTAGAATCTTTGCACTGCAGTAAGTGGTACAGGCCAGAGCTCTCCCAGAATCCTTAAAAGCTTATCTTGCTGTTGCCAAGGGAACGCAGTCAGTCTGGTGAGATTCTCGTAACACAGTTGACTAGCAATAAAACTTCTGTTGAGACTCTTCACCAGTGGCTCTGGCTGCTCTTGCCTGACATTATTCTTGCCATGCTGACTACATTTCTTTGGGAACCATAAGAGAAGCCTTCAAGGGTTCTGAGGGAGTCCCAACCTGTGCCACTTACTGCAGTGCAGAGACTCCAAACTGGAGTCCCCATTAACATTGTTGGAAGAAGAATCCAGATCCAGTTCCAAGCCAGGAATAAAATGGAGGCTGATTGGAAAGTAAGATTCTGTTTATTGCTAACAGAACCAATATACGCACAGCGTGGAGTTCTGGGACAGCTGACAAAATGGAGTTGAGAGTGGGTGGGATTTATACCTTTGTTGAGCTTTGTATTTGAGCTTCCTGTTCCTGTTCAAGAACATGTCCTTTAATATTCTAATGGCTGTTGTCAGATTCCTATGTGGTCATGACCAGTGGTGGTATTCAGACTGTTCGGACTGGTTCAGATGAATCAGTAGTGGCACCTGCCTGGCTCTATGTCGTCCTTTTTAACTACATTTTCTAAACTGTACGCATGCATGCAAGCTGCATGCGTGAGCAAAGCACATATGCGGAAGACCACGCACATGTGCTCACAATTTCAGTGCTGGGCAAACCGGTGGTAAAATTATGTGAAACTCATGACCCATGTCTGGTCATGACTGGCTCTCTAGGCAGAAAGGGAAATGCAGGGGTGTTTCTCTGAGTTAAACTTGCCAACCTAATTGCTTATCTGGAGTTTCTGTCTGGCCCAGTCTTTCTGAATGGATTACCAATTCTGCATTTTTAAATCAATTTCTGCTTGGGGCAGGGAAACTGGGGCTGTTTTCTGCCTCCCTCAAGATTATTTTTTTCATTTCTCCTTTAGGGGAGATGTTCTATCCTGGCTTTTTAATATCCCCCAAACTATTTCATTTTCTAGGAGGATGGGTGGGAGCTGACTCTCTACAACCCCGTTTCCAGTCCTGCTGGAGATTTTATAACAATTTAGCGGCATTAATTTTTGGAAACTTGTCCTTTTATATTTTTAGCAAAACAAACATTAATCACTACTCAAAATATCTGCTCCCTGAAAGGAAAAATATGGTCCCCTCCAATGATATTGCTGCAGAACCAAGAAGTCCCTAGAATCCTTAATTAGAAGATGGTGTGGTGGTTAGAGTGCAGTGCTGCAGGTGACTTCAGCTGACTGCTAGCTGTAGTTCAACAGTTCAAATCTCACCGGGTCAAGGTTGACCCATCCTTCCATGCTTCCGAGATGGGTAAAATAAGGGCCCAGATTGTTGAGGAAAATATGCTGACTCTGTAAAACCTTTTAGAGAGGGCTTAAAAGCACTATGAAGCAGTATATAAGTCTAAGTGCTATTGCTATTGCTAATTATGCTCCAAAAATGCATTAAAAGTTGCCTATCAATAAAGTCCTAGTAAAAATATTCCTGGCTTGTTATAGGCCCCGAACTCAGATTATAGTTTTATTTTCTTCACCTATAGTAACCATGGTGGAGTGGATGGTGCACATATCTTACTACAACGAATAATGACCGAGTGTGAGTAAAACTTTGCTTGCGCCAAAGAATTTGATGTTTGTATCTTTAAATCTGTTGAAGAACTCCACCGTTTAGAAAACAGACATGAGTAAATACCACAACACGTGGAAGTTGCTAAAAAGTTACAGGAGGTTGACTCACTCTGTTCTATGTTGTGCTCCAATTAAAAGACTATAATTTGGCTGAGCTGTAGCCATCTCCGTGGTTACCTTTAGCTTGATGGCTTGTTTTGAAGCAGCAGCGAAAGTTTACCCCAACGGCCTACGATCCTCGGTCACGCCTCAAGGGCCGTGTGCTCTCAACATTGATTTCTTTGCTCAGTGATTCATACAGGTGACTAACTCCAGTGTCTGTCTAGAGCACAGGTTCATTCTTGGTGTTGTTACTGTCAATACCGTGGATTTTAAGGAAACAAGTGATGGTGCGTAGTCTGGGAACTATTTTATATATGTTTGGGCCATTTTTTAATAGCTTGTTTACAACCTTATCCAGAGCCTTCCAAATTGTAGAAGTGCTGATTCCCATCACTCTGACTAGCCCTGATAGATGGGGATGATGGGAACTGTTTGGAGAAATCTGGAA